CTTCGGCTGCGGAGGGCGCTGCTGCCACGCGACCTGGCGGTGCTCGTCCTGTGAGTGCTGGAGCTGCTGGGTCTGAGTGTTCTCCTGGCGCTGGTCCTGCTGAGGACGTTGGCGCTGAGCCTGCGGTTGGTGGTCCGACTGACGGTGCTCCTGGTGCTGCTGCTGGAGGTTCTGGAGCTTCTGGTGGTTCTGCTGGAGGTGCTGCTGGAGTGGGTGCTCCTGCCGGGGGTGCTGGTGCTGTTCCTGCTGTTTCTGGCGTCGCCGCGCGGCCTCGACCGTACTTCGTTCCGCTCCTGCAGCAGGTTCTTGGTCTTACACCTCCTCCTCCTTCCTTAGAGGGTCCGCAGCCTGTCCGGTCACAGCCACAGCTTCAGCCTGCCTCCCCTTTGCCTGCTCCTTCTCCCTACGCTGGTCCGACTGGAGGTCTTACTGAGCGTCGTGAGCCTGCGTCTCGTCCTGCGTCGCCTGTTCGTACTGAGCGCGCTAGTGGTCGCGGGTCGCGTCAGCGTCCTCCTCCTGTCCCTGGCACGCACCGGATGTCACTGCGTCCGTCCACTGCTCCTCTGCGTGCCCCTTTGCCTTCTCCTCCTGCTTCCTCTCTTCTTGCTCTTGCCGACCCGGAGTCGGACTCTCTTCGTGCTGCCAGTCCTACTGTCACGCGTCTCCTTGCTACTGCTGTCACTGACCCTTCCTTCGAGTCGTCTGCTGCGTCTGCCCTTGTCACTGAGCTTGTCGACTTTGCTGCGCGCTGTCGTCTAGACTACGCTGCTCGTCTTGTCGCTGAGTCTGAGTCCGCCTGTCCTCCGTCCGTCGGGGGTGAGTGTGCCCTTGGCACGGACGTCCTAGAGGACAGGCAGGAGGAGTTCCAGTGTCTAGCCGCTGCTTCACCTCGTCTCGCGTCTGTACTGCTAACCCCTGAGGGAGACCCGGATGCACTAGACATCCCGACTCCGCGTTCTTACGCGGAGGCCGTAGAGGGTCCCTACTCCTCTCAGTGGCAGGCAGCTATGGATGCAGAGATGGCTTCCTGGAAGTCCACAGGCACCTACGTTGACGCGGTTCCCCCTCCTGGGGCGAACATCGTCAGTGGCATGTGGATCTTCAGGGTGAAGCGGCCGCCGGGCTCGCCGCCTGTCTTCAAGGCGCGTTACGTGGCTCGTGGCTTCAGTCAGCGGCAGGGAGTTGACTACTTTCAGACCTTCTCTCCCACCCCGAAGATGACCACTCTTCGGGTGCTGCTGCACATTGCCGCTCAGCGCGACTACGAGCTTCACTCTCTCGACTTCAGCACTGCGTTCCTGCAGGGTAGCCTGCACGAGGAGATCTGGCTGCGCCGTCCGCCTGGCTTCACTGGGACTTTCCCTCCTGGCACCCAGTGGAGCCTCCGACGGCCAGTCTACGGTCTCCGCCAGGCACCGCGTGAGTGGCACGACACACTGAGGACTACGCTTGCGGCTCTTGGGTTTGCTCCTTCTACTGCTGACCCGTCGCTGTTTCTTCGCACCGACACTTCCCTGCCGCCGTTCTACATCCTCGTGTACGTCGACGACTTGGTCTTTGCCACAGCGGACACTGCTGGACTCGCCTACGTGAAGTCCGAGCTGCTGAAGAGACACACGTGCACAGACCTGGGTGAACTGCGCAGCTACCTTGGCTTGCAGATCACTCGGGACAGAGCACGCCGCACCATCACCCTGACTCAGTCACACATGGTGCAGCAGGTCCTTCAGCGCTTCGGCTTCACGTACTCCTCGCCTCAGGCCACTCCTCTGCCTACTCGCCACTCACTCTCAGCTCTGCCTTCGGATGAGTCCGTAGAGTCGAGTGGTCCGTATGCAGAGCTTGTTGGCTGCCTCATGTACCTGATGACCTGCACTCGACCTGACCTTGCATACCCTCTGAGCATCCTTGCACGCTATGTTGCTCCTGGGAGACACCGACCAGAGCACATGGCTGCAGCGAAGAGGGTATTGCGCTACCTGTGCAGTACGTCGGGCATGGGGCTAGTGCTTGGAGGGCGGAGTCCAGTGGTCCTTACTGGGCACGCAGACGCTTCTTGGGCTGACGACCAGGCTACGCAGCGGTCGTCACAGGGTTACACCTTCAGCCTTGGTTCCGGCTCTGTCTCGTGGCGGTCTACTCGCTCGTCTTCGGTTCTCGGCTCCAGTTGTGAGGCTGAGATCTACGCCGGGGCCATGGCTGCACAGGAGCTTCGCTGGCTCACCTACCTGCTGACTGACCTTGGAGAGCTGCCTCGTTCTCCTCCAGTGCTGTACGTAGACAACAAGGCCATGTTGGCCTTGTGTCGAGAGCAGCGCTTGGAGCACAGAACGAAGCACATTGCTCTCCGCTACTTCCTTGCTCGTGAGCTGCAGCAGCGTGGTCAGTTGCGACTTGCTTACGTGGCCTCTGAGGCCAACACTGCTGATGTGTTCACCAAGGCACTTGCGCCTTGCGACCATCAGCGCTTTTGTACCCAGCTGGGTCTTGTACCTGTCTTGCCTCACTTGCTCTCTTCTTGACTTTACTTGTACTTTGACATATATATACCTGCTCTTGCTTGTCTAGTTTTATATATATGCCTTTACTCCTGCATGTGAACTGGCCTCTGGCCTTGCTCTTGTGCTCGGACTGTGTGGTGACTTTGTGATCCACCCTGAGCTTGTTTTGCTTTGCTTGACTGGTCTTGTGACCCCTTGTTCTCCCCCACTTTGCCTATGGGGGTGTGTCAGATTATTATAGCTGATGCATGTTTGTAGGCTATAGTGGGGTAGCACATATGGGGTACAGTTTGCTAGGGTTGTATTTGTACCCAACTCTGACTTAGTCATTCCATTCCTCTGCTCATAGTTTCACAATTTATTATCGCGTGTTTTGGCTGGGTTTGCTGCTGTTTGTGCTTTTGATTGTGTGAATGTGTTTGATTGTGAGAGTGCATTCATCTCATTGATCATTGCAATATTAATGCATGTCTGTCAATTTAAAAAAAGGGGTTCATTTCTATCATTTCTCATTGGTTCATTGGCGCACTCAGTGACTCGTGTGTTTGCCACTTCGAACTGGATTTGATAGTGTGAACCTCTTTTTTAGAGTTAACAGATAGCATTTTTTCATGTGTTGGTTTATTATTCAAAGACTTTGCTATTGACTTCCCCCCCATGCTAGGCAGGGGATGCGGTAGCCTAGTTTTTGGGTCTTTAACTATCACGCATTTGTATGACATCTCGTATGTTGCATTTCAGCATTTCGCTTCATAGAAAAGCATTTTCATCCATGTATCAGTATTATGCATCTATATATCTTGCCGCATTACATTCATTTAAGCATGCGTGGTATGTACTTCATTACTCATATTCGTAATATTTTTTACATGCAATTATCACAACAACGGCAAGCAGTAAAACATAAAACGCAAACAGTATAGCATATAGGCAAAAAACTACTATAATAAAAAAGAAATTAATATATGCACAATGGGAAGGATGGTACTGTAGCTTACGAATTTTATTTTCGTGTTAAATAAAAAACATGGAAAGAAAATTTGTCAAAATCGATTGTAAAGGGTTGCTTCGCAACCCAAAAAAAAAAAACCCATCTCAAATACCCAACCCCCTCACCCCGTCATGCAAGAGGGGCTTTTCGAAGGTGTGTTCGGGTGGAGAAAAATGGGGGGTATTCGAACCCCCCTTTCTCTGAACGGCAATGCGACGGCTGTGCCATCGCTGTGCTTCGAAAAACGAGGCATGGCGATGGCATGGCCTGGGGACGAAGTTGCGTCCCCGCTTCTATATGCCGTCGAGCATTTCGTTTTGTGGGAGAAATGGGGGCGTTCGCCAGACACCCCCTTTGATTGTTAATTTGGACAGTTGGGGAGGCTCAGCAACTTTTTTACGGGCTGACCAGGCTGACGGAGATAAACGAACACTAACGGACGGGATCAGGAAGGCGAGACCCACCTTCCTGATCCCGTCCTTATCCCATGTTTCTTTGCTTCATTGGTGTTGGCGAACACCGTCGAAAAGACGGGTGGGTGAGGGAATAGAGTCAGGCGGGATCTGGGCATGTAGGGAGGGAGGAATGGTGGCAATGGCACTGATCTGGTGGGGTAGGGTGAAGGGAGGGACGAATGGGTGAAGGTGGTAGGTTGATGCTGGCTCGATATAATTCCCGCCGAGACGCATGTCGCATTCCAGGTGCCTTCTCCAGGTTCGGTTATGTTGCAGTCTGTACTGCACCCGAGAGCTTTGTCTGTTCGTTGGACCCGCAGCATGCGGCGAGATCCTCGTTTATGTTTCCCGAGTCGCATGCCACCCCAAGCTATACTTTATTGCAAACAAGGGAATGTGTATTTGCAAAATATACAAAATAATTGTGTGAGCAGTATACAGGACCAAGCCCAGTTTTGGGGACCCTTCTCGTGGATTTGCTGAAACAAAATAGAGTCTTCTACTCTAAGCGCTAAACCCAGGTACGGTATGATTTTTAGGGTGACTCTGGGTAAGTCGGGGATAGAGATCGTGGAGCTTTCGAATCAGATCACAAAGGATCTCAGTCACAGTTTGGTGCGCGTTGCGAAGGTGGTCCACCGATTGCAGTGACAGGCCGCAGGGAGAGAAACGGCACCATGGCAAGACAAAGGGAGCGTGCAGTAGATTGCAGCGCCATTTTCTCACAACCTTCCCTTCCCTTCCTTTCCCTACCCAGCTCATCCCTTCCTTCCCCTCATCTCCCAAACCCTAACTCTGCTGGTAGTGAATGAGGTTGCTGGTGTAATATGGGAACGCCCAGAACAACACAGAAAAAAATTGTGTTCACTTTGATTTAATTTCGCTACACTCGCAGGAGCTGAGAAGTACGGTAAATGAAAAGGATCCAACCCCAGCACATCTATGGTGTGCAGGTACACTAGGGAACATATAACAGTGGACGCCTTGCCTGCAGCCCACAGGCAGGTTCCATTCACACAGAAGCTGTGCAGAGTCCTCCCGCATCGCCACGCCCTACATCCGGCCCTTCCTGGGCTTGGAAGAGCGCTTCTTGCAGTCAGGCAGGGGTTTCCCACAGAGCTTGGGGTTGCCGGGGCGGAAGCAGGAGGTGGGCAGGTCGGAGAGAGAGGGGGGGACGGAGCCAGAGAGGGCGTTGCCAGCGAGGTGCACTTGCAGGGAGGGGGCAGCAGCACGCAGCAGCGCAGGGATGGTGCCTGACAGCCCGCTCCACGACACGTCCAGCTCCTGCAGGGCCTTCAGGGACGCCAGCCCTGCAGGAATGCTGCCGCTCATGCGGTTGCGCGCAGCTAGCAAGGATTGCAGAGCAGTGAAGCGTGAGAGGGACTCGGGGAGCGAGCCGGAGAGCTGGTTGGTGGAGATGTTGAGGGAGAGGAGGGAGGAGGCGCAGGAGGAGGAGGAGGGGAGGAGGGAGGAGAGGGGGCTGGAGAAAGCGTTGGAGGAGAGGAGGAGAGAGGCGAGGCGCTGCTTGGCCTGGCAGAAGGCAGGCAGGGAGCCCTTGAGCTTGTTGCGTGAGAGGTCCAGGTGGGTGAGGGGGGAGAGAGCAGCGAGGGAGCGGGGCAGCGAGCCTGAGAGCAGGTTGTCAGAGAGATCCAAGTAAGATAGGGCTGTAAGGCTGGATACTAGAGCATTGGAAATGGTTCCTGTGAGTTTATTTGAAGAGAGGTCCAGGTAGGCGAGGGGGACGAGGGAGGAGCTCTGGCGTTTCCCCTGGGGAGGGTCTGGGATGGGACCAGAGAGTTGGTTGTGTGAGAGGTCGAGCAGTGAAAGGCACGAGGAGTAGACGACATTGGAGATGCTCCCAGTGAGCTTATTGTGGCCCAGCCGAACCTCCACCTGTTGCTCCGAGCACGGAAAAGTCTTTTCTGCAACAGTGCCAGTGAACGCATTGAAGGAGAGGTCTAGGTAGGCGAGGCGCTGCTGGCCCTGACCGAAGACAGGCAGGGAGCCTTTGAGGTTGTTGCTCGAGAGGTCCAGATGGGTGAGGGGAGGGACACGAGCGAGCGAAGGAGGCAGCGAGTCGGAGAGCAGGTTGTTGGAGATATTTAAGTGGGTTAGGGCAGTAAGGCCAGCGATGAGAGCATTGGAGATGCTTCCTGTGAGTTCATTGGAAGAAAAGTCCAAGAAGGCAAGGGGGAGGCGGGATGTGCTATCGAGCTGGGGAAGGGTGCCAGACAGTTCATTGTACGACAGATCGAGTGTCTTCAAGTGCAATTTGTCGATGGCAGGAATTGAACCCGTGAGCAGGTTGTGTGAGAGGTCCAACTCGACTGTCACTCTGTCCCCCAGGAGCGGGGCAGGGATGGGTCCTGACAGCTGATTGTGCGACAGACGCAGCACCCTCGAGTAGAACCTCTTCGATAAGTCTCCAAAAAGGCCCTGCAGCGGGGCGCTGATGCGGTTGTGTGAGAGGTCCAGGTAGTTGGCGTGCCAGGAGGCGTTGCTGCCGGGGCCCCACGTGAGTTGGTTGTTTGACAAGTTGAGTGTGTGGAATTGTTGGTCGCGAGGGAAGAGCGTGGCTGCGTCGCCCGAGAGCTTGTTGCTGCTGACGTCCAGACGTGTCAGTAGCGGGAACACCCTGCAGAGACCCCACACGAGAGGCGCACTGGAGGCAGCAGAATCGGCGGGAGCAGCAGGGGGAGTGGGGAAGGCGGCAGCAAGTGCAGAGACGTCCCCCTGGAGGGCGTTCCCCTGCAGCTGCAGGTCTCGGAGCATCCAGAGCGCGCCGAGCTCACGTGGCAAGCTGCCGTCCAGCCGGTTGTGGTCCAGCGCCAGGCGCGTCAGCCCCGTCAGCAGACCCACCTGCGCTGCTATGGACCCCGTCAGACCGTTCCTCCCCACGTCTAGAACCTCCAAGCTCGCTGACAGCGCTGCTGGTGCTGCTGCAGTGGTGGTTGGGAGGAGCTCTCCCGTGAGGTTGTTCCCACGGAGGGAGAGCTCTTGCAGCGAGGGGAGGGCGAAGAGGGCGGGGGGGATGGAGCCGGAGAGGTGGCGGTTGGAGGAGAGGTCGAGAGCGACGAGGTGTGAGAGGCGCGAGAGGGACGGCGGCAGGCCGCCGGAGAGGACGTGCGCGGAGATGCGCAAAGAGGTGAGGTGCGTCAGCTGCCCCAGTGCTTCCGACAGACTGCCACTCCTGCTCGCACTGCTGCTGCCACTCCCGCCAGGCAGGCCCTGCAGGAAGAAGCGCACGCTATCAGGAGGTAACGGACGGTTTAGGTTGCATGACGGCGAGCTAAACGCGTATTCGCTCTGTTCGTATTCACAGTCGGGCATTTCTGTCACCACATGGGGTTGCATCGTGACGTTGATGTTGCCCTCCAGGTGGAGTGTGTCCACGTGTCCGTCTGCTGTGCACCCCACGCCGTACCACGCACACGCGCTGCTGCTGCTCGCGTCCCAGCTGCGCAGAATCTCCGCCCACGAGCTGTTTCCGCCGTTCACTAACCCCGCTACCCCTGCTGCTCCCCCGGCTGCTTCCCCCGCTGCTTCCCCCGCTGCTTCCCCCAGGAGCGCATCGCGCACCGCCAGCAGCGCAGCAGTCTCTGCAGCGGACGCCTGCACACCAGGCGCCTGGGTTGGAAGGTACCCCGCGCCCACGGCGCCCGCCATGCGCGCGCTGTTGTTGCTCACGCGCAGCACGTCCCAATCATATACCCATAGAAGAGAACGCGAATCCCAGCGCCTGTCGAACAGCGGACCCCGCAGGTCGTTAAACCGCAGATCCACGCGCGAGAAGTCGCTGAAAAACGCCTCGGGAATGCTGCCGGAGAAGTTGTTATGCGACAGGTCGAATAAACCGGTCGGAAGCACCGTGAAAGCTTTCAGGCTGCCCGAGAGGCTGTTGTGGCTCAGGTCCATCTGGATATACTCAACTAAAGAGGGCCTCCGCCCTGACTGCGCGTTGGTCGCGAGGAACAGGTCGGGCGGAACGCTCCCCCGCAGCCCCGCGTGCGGCGCGCTGAGAAACTCTAGCTTCGCGGGCAGCACGCAGCCGTGCAGAGAGCCCCCACCTCCCTCCTCACCTCTGCCGTCGCTCGCGCTGGCGCTGCTCCCGGCGCTCGCGCCCCCGAAGTCGTTGAAGCCCATCAAGAGCGCGCGCGCCGGCAGCAGCGCGTCGCAGAATGGCCGCGTGAGCGCGTTGTTGTCGAGCCGCACCTCGTCGAGCGCCTTTAGCGACTCGGGGTCGCGCAGCGCCGCAGGCACCGCGCCGGATAGGCGGTTCCACCCCAGGTCGAGTTTCTGTAGCGCACTCATGTACGCCAGCGCGGGCGGAATGGCGCCGGACAGGCTGTTGTTGCGCAGGATGAGCGCGGTAATGCTCCGCGAATACGCGCCCGCTTCCCCCGGGAGTTCTCCCGTGATGTTGTTGCTCTGCAGGTCCAACTGGCGCAGCGCAGGCGCGCGGAGAAGGGCGCGCGGAAGCTCCCCCGAGAGCGCGTTGCCGGACAGGATGACCGTTTCCAGTGACGGGGAGTACGCGTCGGGGCCGTCAGGAAGGGACCCCGAAAGGCCTTCATACTGAAGTTGATATTCCGGGTATTCACTGAGTGTGCTCAGATCCACGTGGCGGAGCGCGGGCAGGCGGAAGAGGCCAGGCGGAATGGGCCCGGAGAAGTTGTTTTCGGGCATTTCAAAAATCGTCAGCTTCTGGAGGCGCGTGACGGAGTCCGGCAGGTCGCCGGCGAGGCACGAGTGGCGGAAGACAAGCGACGAGAGCTCCGCGAGATCGCCAATGGCGGGCGACAGCGCGCCGGGTGGGCAGCTGCCTCCGCTCCCGACGGGCCCGGGCATGTCCTGGCGGCTCGGGTCAGAAAAAATGCGCGTGATGCGGCCGGTGGACGTGCACTCGAGCGGGGACCAGAGGCGGCACGACACATTAGCGGGTTTGGGCGCGACGCAGCAGTAGGAGACGTTGTGGTTGTCGTCAAACAACTTGTACTGCGGTATGCTGTCGTGCCAGAAGAACATAAGCTCGGGCAGCGCTGCGTACACCGCGCGCATGGCCTCCCGGTCGACCTCCGCTATCTCCGCGACGCACCCGTCGGGGATCGGCAGAGGGGTGTAGGCTTCCGCCTGGCGGAGGAGCGCGATTAGCGCGAGGAGGGCGATGAGGGTAAGGCGCGACGGGACGGGGAGGGGGGATGGGAGGGCGCGAGGGATTGAGGCCATAATGCTGTGTGAGAATCTGGAAACGTGCGGATTAGAATGAGAGTGTACGATTGGAGAGGCTGGACAAGCATTAAAAGTACTTAGGTCCCTACTACGTATGCGATAACTGCTGGCGAATGCATTGCTAGTATCAATGCCTGGGCGTTGTTGCACGGATTGTCTGAGCGAGATCGAGGGAGGTCGAGTATATATTGGGGGATTAGTACCTGTCACGTTGAGTACAGTAGCGGCATGATCGGGTAATCTCCACGTTCGGAACGTTGACTTCGTTGACGGGAGATCAGGAGGTCTAACTTGAAGGCGGAGGGATGAGTGGAAGTAGATTGGCGGAAGGGATGCGCGCGGACTCCGCGTACGCGGAGTACGAGGCGCGTTATGTCCTGGCGCCTGCTGCGGGAATGGACAGCCATGGCGTGCATGAAGCCGCTAACGAGCACAAGGGGAGGCGCGAAGATGGGCATTGGTGGTGCAACGTCACTACAGTGTGTACCATGCTTTGCCAGTGAACTGGTGAGTCCAGCTAGGCGAAGGCGATAATTTCACGACGACGTTGTGACGACCTCGTGAAACAGGCACCAACGAACCGAACGAAGAGGTTTGTGAGAGCAGCAGCGAAGGCGGAAGACACGGCACGACTTGGAGAGAAAGCAGCGGAACAGAAGAGTATGCAGAGGCGGGGCGGAAGGGAGAGATGGTGGCAATGGCACTGGTTTGGTGGGGTGGGGTGGAGGGAGGGACGAATGGGTGGAAGTGGTTGTTGCTGGCTGGAGTGAACTCCAGCCGAGACGCATGTCGCACCCCAGGTGCCTTCCCCAGGTAATTGGAGCCAATACTTGTTCATTATACCCACAAAATGCGGCGAGTTTCCCTTTGATGTCTCCCTGCGATCTGTATTGCTTCAATAAATATGTATTTGCATGCACATCAAAACATCAATTCTTAAAGCCCGAGTACAGCATGGAAATTTTCAAGTTCAAGATTCTTAAACTTGAAGTCGCCAATAACAGGGTTACCCTACTTGTTTTGAGAAAATTCTCGCGACCCCAGGCAATCGTCCTGCGACAACGGAACCCGCGTGCCCAAAACCAGAACTGACGCGATGATCGCCAACCATTTGTAGTATTCACCACTCACATAACTTGCTTACCAAGTAGTACTCTTAGGCTAGGAGGCTCCAAGGCAAAAACTAGCGCTAGTTGGCAAAAGCGAGTCATTGATAGGTGTTTTTTTTGTGCGGAAGGAAATATAAGTCCACCTCAACCATCTTAGTCAGTGCACGCTCTAATCTCTCCCGCACGTCACCGGTCTCGTGTTACAACCCGTACACCCACGGCACTTACGTTAGTAAACGAGATTCGCGTTACTCGAGTCTTGCATTCAAGCTCGCGTCACACACGCAGGATCTTGTCACACTTGCTACCATTCAGCCTCGTGTCACAATCGTACCGTTTTAGGCACGGGTCGCTCACGCAAATGCCGTACTGGTTCGCGTAACGCACTCAGCCGTTAGTCGCACATGTTCCTCCTCGTCGGCCGCTCTTGCCCACGTCAGACCGCTTTCCTCGTCGCCCGCGCTTTCCCTCATTACCCTCCCCGACCCTCTGGTCGCATATGTTCCGGTAGTTGCCCTCGCTCTCCCACGTTAACCACACATCCCCTCGTCGCAATTGCTAGTAGTAAACATACCGCGCTTCAGATCGTCACCCGCGCTCCCCTCATCACCCTCGTCGACCCACACCGATCCTCGCCGCCCTCACCTCCCTTGGTCACCGACATTCCCTCTCGTCGCTCGCGCTTCCCCTCATCACCCGTGCCGACCCTCGCCGCCCTCGCCTCCCCTCGTCGCCCGCGCGTCCCGTCGTCGGGCTTACCTCCCAGTCACTCGCGCTTCCCCTCATCATCCGCGTTTCCATCCGCTCTTCCCCTCTCCCCATCTCACCATCTCCAGCCCATCCTTCCTCCCTCATTCCTTTCGAAGGGGTGGGACAGATGGGGAGGAACAGATGGGGAGAAACAGAGGTGGTCGCTTCCGCCACCACAATCGAACAGCGTTTTGATTCCCTCTCTACTCCCCACCATCCTCCCCCCAGCTCTCTCCCCGGCACGCTTCACCCCATCCCCTTCCGTGCTTCCCCCCATCCCCTCCCCTGCTTCCCCCCATCCCCTCCCCTGCTTCCCCCCATCCCCTTCCCTGCTTCCCCCCTTCCCTTTCCCTGCTTCACCCCATCCCCTCCCCTGCTTCCCCCCATCCCGTCCCGTGCTTCGCCCCATCCCCTTCCCTGCTTCCCCCCATCCCCTTCCCTGCTTCACCCCATCCCCCTCCCTGCTTCCCCCCATCCCCCTCCCTGCTTCCCCCCATCCCCTTCCCTGCTTCCCCCCTTCCCTTTCCCTGCTTCACCCCATCCCCTCCCCTGCTTCCCCCCATCCCGTCCCGTGCTTCCCCCCATCCCCTTCCCTGCTTCCCCCCATCCCCTTCCCTGCTTCCCCCCATCCCCTTCCCTGCTTCCCCCCATCCCCTTCCCTGCTTCCCCCCTTCCCTTTCCCTGCTTCACCCCATCCCCTCCCCTGCTTCCCCCCATCCCGTCCCGTGCTTCCCCCCATCCCCTTCCCTGCTTCCCCCCATCCCTGCTTCCCCCCATCCCCTTCCCTGCTTCCCCCCATCCCCTTCCCTGCTTCCCCTCATCCCCTTCCCTGCTTCCCCTCGTCCCTTCCCCTGCTTCCCCCCATCCCCTTCCCTGCTTCCCCCCATCCCCTTCCCTGCTTCCCCCCATCCCCTTCCCTCCTTCCCCTCCTGCTGCCTCCCATCACTCTCATTCTCCTTCCTCCCGCACTCACACCTCTCAGTCCTCTCGCACTCTCTCTCTCCGTCCTCTCGCTCTTGCACTCTCCTCCCCACCACCCTCAGCCCTCCTTCCCCTCACACCCACCCATGTTCCCACCTGCCCTCCCCATCCTTGCCTTTCCCTCCCTGCCCTGCCCTTCCCTTCTCCATCCCTTCTCAAACCTTCCCTTTCATGTCATGCCCTCACCTTCCCCCTCATCTTCCGCCCTCTAGTTACCATGCATGTGCACCCATCACTGTCTCCCCATACCGGTACATGCTTTCATCATGTGCGCTTGCTTGTGTTCCCCTGCAGTTGTTCCCTTGGCACCTCACACCACTTCCCTCATGTTCCATCACACAATTCTTTCTGCCTACTCCACTCTCCAAATTTTCAGTGGTGAAGCAGAGGAGCAAGCTGAGGCGCAGCTAGAGCTAGTCCATGCTTTACGCCGTACCACCACCTGTTTCTTGTGTGTCGTCTGCAAGCATGATACCGTATTACTGTTGGAGATATCCATTTCAAAAGCGCAATATGTTTCTGCAGTGCAATATATTCTTCCGAGATGCATATGCATGGGCAAGAGTGTCAGAAGGGTAGATAGAGGCATGATTCTACTTTTGATTGTACCCTTCTCAAGGACTCGAAAAAAACATGAGGGATGGGATGATGGGCTTCGGCGAGTTGCAGTGCCAGAAAATCTTCATTGGTGTCACTTCACCACCCAAGGAGAGGGAGGGAATACGAGGGATGGGGAGGGGGAACAAGACTTAAGTCAAACAGGGGAGATAGGGAAGAGGGGGGAGAGGAAAGCAGGGCTGAGAGGGAAAGACATAAGTACCGTAAAAAAAGGGAGGATAGGGAAGAGGGGAGATAGGAAGAGGGGGAGAGGGAAAGTGTGAGATAGGAAGATGAAACGAGGTGAAGAAGAGGGGGAAACGAGGGGAAGCAGGGGGGGAAACGAGGGACAGCAAGGGGGGAAACGAGGGGAAGCAGGGGGGGAAACAAGGGAAAGCAAGGGGGGAAACGAGGGGAAGCAGGGGGGGAAACAAGGGAAAGCAAGGGAGGGAAATGAGGGGCCAGCAGGGGGGAAAATGAGGGGAAGCGGGGGGGGGTGGGGGGAGGGAAATGAGGGGAAGCTGGGGGGAAAATAAGGGAAGCAGGAGGGTACAAACAGAGATAGCAGGGAGGGAAATGAGGTGAAGCAGGGAGGGAAATGAGGTGAAGCAGTGAGGGAAATGAGGTGAAGCAGTGAGGGAAATGAGGTGAAGCAGGGAGGGAAATGAGGTGAAGCAGTGAGGGAAATGAGGCGAAGCAGTGAGGGAAATGAGGTGAAGCAGTGAGGGAAATGAGGTGAAGCAGTGAGGGAAATGAGGTGAAGCAGGGAGGGAAATGAGGTGAAGCAGGGAGGGAAATGAGGTGAAGCAGGGAGGGAAATGAGGTGAAGCAGTGAGGGAAATGAGGTGAAGCAGGGAGCGAAATGAGGTGAAGCAGTGAGGGAAATGAGGTGAATCAGTGAGGGAAATGAGGTGAAGCAGGGAGGGAAATGAGGTGAAGCAGTGAGGGAAATGAGGTGAAGCAGGGAGGGAAATGAGGTGAAGCAGTGAGGGAAATGAGGTGAAGCAGGGAGCGAAATGAGGTGAAGCAGTGAGGGAAATGGGGTGAATCAGTGAGGGAAATGAGGTGAAGCAGGGAGGGAAATGAGGTGAAGCAGTGAGGGAAATGAGGTGACGCAGGGAGGGAAATGAGGTGAAGCAGTGAGGGAAATGAGGTGAATCAGTGAGGGAAATGATGTGAAGCAGTGAGGGAGGTGAGGTGAAGCAGTGAGGGAAATGAGGTGAAGCAGGGAGGGAAATGAGGTGAAGCAGTGAGGGAAATGAGGTGAAGCAGGGAGGGAAATGAGGTGAAGCAGGGAGGGAAATGAGGTTAAGCAGTGAGGGAAATGAGGTGAAGCAGGGAGGGAAATGAGGTGAAGCAGTGAGGGAAATGAGGTGAAGCAGGGAGGGAAATGAGGTGAAGCAGTGAGGGAAATGAGATGAAGCAGTGAGGGAAATGAGGTGAAGCAGTGAGGGAAATGAGGTGAAGCAGGGAGGGAAATGAGGTGAAGCAGGGAGGGAAATGCGGTGAAGCAGAGATGAGGGGGAGAAAGGGTGGGCCATGGGCGTAGAGCATAGGGCGCAGAGCATGGGGCGCAGAGCATAGGGCGCAGAGCATGGGGAACAGAGCATAGGGCGCAGAGCATGGGGCGCAGAGCATGGGGCGCAGAGCATAGGGCGCAGAGCATGGGGCGCAGAGCATAGGGCGCAGAGCATGGGGCGCAGAGCATGGGGCGCAGAGCATAGGGCGCAGAGCATTGGGCGCAGAGCATTGGGCGCAGAGCATAGGGCGCAGAGCATGGGGCGCAGTGCATAGGGCGCCGAGCATAGGGCGCAGTGCATAGGGCGCAGAGAATAGGGCGCAGAGCGCAGGGCTCATAGAGCAGAGCGCAGGGGGCAGAACGCAGGGGGCGGAGGGGGCAGAGCGCAGAGTGCAGGGGCGCGGAGCACGTGTACCTGTCTTAGCGTGGTGGTGCCTCGTTCTAGCGCCCTCTCCACGCTGCTATTCGAATAGAATAGTGCGCGCGCTGGACGTTTGTGAGTTGACGCGCTGCTAGACGACCAGTGGCGCGAGCTGCGCGTAAACCGGTGAGGGGGATGGTCGTCTCTGTATTTCGCGCGCTGCTGGCGCCCGTTGGCGCCTGGTGGCTGACAGAGTAGAATTGCGTAACCCTAAGGGTATGCGTATTGTGGACGCCCCCAACGTGGCATTGCCCTAAGTAATAGGCACTTTCAAGCCCAATATACGTTCGCAATGCCCCGAAACCGTCGACCTACGTGCTGCCAGAGGCAATCGATGTGCCAGAGGCAATCGATGTGCCAGAGGCCATATCGCGCTGTGTCGCGCTCTTCTCAACGCTCTTTCCTGCGACTCAGCATGTACGTTTTCTGGCATGTCACCTTCGTTTGCACGTTTCCTTGTTAGCTCCTGCGGTTATTTCACACGAAGTAGTTAGCTTGATTGATCGTGGTGTTCTTTCTCCTCACTCGTGTTGGTGCTTCACATTTTCGTTTTTGCTAGTAGTCGCATTGTGCGTGGACCTTCTCCATTACTTGAACCTGATTGGCTGAAGAACAATCCTTGTGACACTCCTTCCAGTCGCTCCACAGTGCTTGCAAATCCGTCAAAGCTGTACAGTGTCGTTCACCATCGCTTCACGTTTGGCGAGACTCCTTTCCCCCTCGTCAATCGATATTTTTCTCGCTACACTGACTTAGCCGAAATTCTTGTTTTCAAGGTTTCGCCAGCACTATTTCAAACCCACAGAACTTGATAAATTACCATGCTGACTCCGGGCTTTAAACCCTCAAAAGGACAGCTCACATAGAAGGAATTATGCGCAGAATACAGTCTTCTTGGAGACCCTTCTCATGGGATTTAACTTGAAAAGAGGCACCTTCTCAAATATCTAGAGACAGGCATAATATTTGAAGCGGTTATGGACGTCGGGGACAGAAAATGTGGAGCCTACGAATCCAATTACCGAGGAAAAGCGCCTTAATTTTGTTCGGTGTGTGACGAACACCAGGAGATATTATCATTCTTAACAGACTCAATATCAGTGTAATATGGGAACCTCCAAAACGACCCAGAATTATTTGTAGTTCGCTAGTGATCTAACTAGTGTATTCACACTTGCAGGATCTGATAAGTACAAACAGAAAAGATGTAATCTTAGCACATTTATGGTGAACATGTATGCTAGGGAAGATGCCTTGACTGCAGCCCACAGGCGGGTTCCATTAACACAGTGTATGCGCCGAGTCCTACCGCCTCCCCACGCCCTACACCCGGCCCTTCCTGGGCTTGGCAGAGCGCTTCTTGCAGTCAGGCAGGGGTTTCCCACAGAGCTTGGGGTTGCCGGGGCGGAAGTAGGAGGTGGGCAGGTCGGAGAGAGAGGGGGGGACGGAGCCAGAGAGGGCGTTGCCAGCGAGGTGCACTTGCAGGGAGGGGGCAGCAGCACACAGGCGCGCAGGGATGGTGCCTGACAGCCCGCTCCACGACACGTCCAGCTCCTGCAGGCCCGTCAGCGATGCCAGCCCTGCAGGGATGCTGCCGCTCATGCGGTTGCGCGCCGCTAGTAAGGAGTGCAGAGCGGTGAAGCGTGAGAGGGGCTCGGGGAGCGAGCCGGAGAGCTGGTTGGAGGAGACGTTGAGGGAGAGGAGGGAGGAGGCGCAGGAGGAGGAGGAGGAGGGGAGGAGGGAGGAGGAGAGGGGGCCGGAGAAAGCGTTGGAGGAGAGGAGGAGAGAGGAGAGGCGCTGCTTGCCCTGGCAGAAGGCAGGCAGGGAGCCCTTGAGCTTGTTGCGAGAGAGGTTGAGGTCGGTGAGTGCGGGGGCAAGAGTGAGCGAGCGCGGCAGCGAGCCAGAGAGCAGGTTGTCGGAGAGATCCAAGTGGGAGAGGGCTGTGAGGCCGGTGACGAGAGCATCGGAGATGTTTCCTGTAAATTTATTGGAAGAGAGGTCCAGGTAGGAGAGGGGGACGAGGGAGGAGCTTCGGCTGTTCCCCTGGGGAGGGTCTGGGATGGGGCCAGAGAGCTGGTTGTGTGATAGGTCCAGATGGGTGAGCACGGGCGCGAGAGCGAGCGAGCGCGGCACAGAACCTGATAGCAGGTTTTCAGAGAGGTCCAAGTGGGATAGGGCTGTGAGGACGGTGACAAGAGCATCGGAGATGTTTCCTGTAAGTTTATTGGAAGAGAGGTCCAAGTGGGAGAGGGGGACGAGGGAGGAGCTCTGGTTGCTCCCCTGGGGAGGGTCTGGGACTGGGCCAGAGAGCTGGTTGTGGGAGAGGTCGAGCAGCGAGACGCACGAGGAGAAGACGAAACCAGAGATGCGTCCAGTGAGCTCATTGTGGTGCAGCCGAACCTCTGCCCCGCTCGCACCCGCCAGCCCTGTTGTAGCGGCTGACTGTTGCTGCGAGCACGGAAAGTTACTTTCCGCAACAGTGCCAGTGAACGCGTTGAAGGAGAGGTCCAGATAGCCGAGGCGCTGCTGACCCTGGCCGAAGGTAGGCAGGGAGCTTGTTGCGTGAGAGGTCCAGGTGGGTGAGGGGAGGGACACGAGCGAGCGAGGTGGGCAGCGAGCCGGAGAGCAGGTTGTGAGACATATTTAAGTGGGTTAGGGCTGTAAGGCCAGCGACGAGAGCATTGGAGATGCTTCCTGTGAGTTTATTGGAAGAGAGGTCCAAGTAGGAGAGGCGGAGGCGGTCGGTGCCATCGAGTTGGGGAATGGTGCCAGTCAGCTGGTTGTGCGACAGATCGAGCGTCTTGGAGTACAAGTTGTCGATGGCAGGAATTGAACCCGTGAGCAGGTTGTGTGAGAGGTCCAACTCCTGCGTCACTCTGCGTCCCAGAAGCGGGGCAGGGATGGGTCCCGACAGCTGGTTGTGCGACAGACGCAGCACCGTTGAGTAGTAGAACCTCTTTGATAAGTCTCCGAAAAGGTCCTGCAGTGGGGCGCTTATGCGGTTGTGCGAGAGGTCCAGGTAGTCGGCATGCCATGAGGCGTTGCTGCCGGGGCCCCACGTGAGTTGGTTGTTTGACAAGTTGAGTGTGTGGAATTGTTGGTCGCGAGGGAAGAGCGCGGCTGCGTCGCCCGAGAGCTGGTTGCTGCTGGCGTCCACACGGGCCAGCAGCGGGAACACCCCTCCGAGACCCCACGAGACAGGCGCACTGGAGGCAGCAGAGTCGGCGGTGCTGCCATCGTCGGTAGTAGCAGCAGGGGGGGGGGAAGGCGGCAGCGAGTGCAGAGACGTCCCCCTGGAGGGCGTTCCCCTGCAGCTGCAGGTCTGTGAGCATCCAGAGCGCGCCGAGCTCCCTTGGCAAGCTGCCGTCCAGCCGGTTGTGGTCCAGCGCCAGGCGCGTCAGCCCCGTCAGCAGACACACCTGCGCTGCTATGGACCCCAACAGACCGTTCCCCCCCAAATCTAGAATCTCCAAGCTCGCTGACAGCGCTGCTGGTGCTGCTGCAGTGGTGGATGGGAGGACCGCTCCCGTGAGGTTGTTCCCGCGGAGGGAGAGCTCTCGCAGCGAGGGGAGGGCGAAGAGGGCGGGGGGGATGGAGCCGGAGAGGTGGCGGTTGGAGGAGAGGTCGAGAGCGACGAGGTGTGAGAGGCGTGAGAGGGACGACGGCAGGCCGCTGGAGAGAGCGTGCCCGGAGATGCGCAGCGAGGTGAGCTGCGTCAGCTGCCCCAGTGCTTCCGACAAATGCCTGCTTGCAACCGCACTGCCGGCGCTAGCGCTTCCACCAGGCAGGCCCCGCAGGAAGAACTGCACTTGGGGGGGAGGCGGCGGAACGTCATGCGCACACGACATTTCTCCGTACTGGTCGTACTCACATTCGGGCGATTTCGGGACGAAGTTGGGGTGCAGGGTGACGTTGGAAGCGCCTATCAGGTGCAGCGTGTCCACGTGTCCGTCTGCTGTGCACCCCACGCCGTACCACGCACACGCGCTGCTGCTGCTCGCGTCCCAACTGCGCAGAATCTCCGCCCACGAGCTGCTTCCGCCGTTTACCAACGCCGTTTTCCCCCCTGCTGCTCCCGCTGCTTCTCCCAGGAGCGCATCGCGCACCGCCAGCAGCGCAGTGGTCTCCGCAGCGGAGGCCTGCAGGCCAGGCGCCGGAACGGGGAGGTACCCCGCGCCCACATCGCCTGCCATGCGCGCGCTGTTGTTGCTCACGCGCAGCAAGTCCCAGTCGTAACTCGAAAACCGAGAGCTCCGCGACTCCAGGTTTGCGTCGAATAGCGGACCCCACAGGTCGTTAAACCGCAGGTCCGCGCGCAGTCTCGTGAAAAACGCCTCGGGAATGCCGCCGGAGAAGTTGTTGTGCGAGAGGTCCAACTTGGACGCTCTTGGTAGCACCGTGAAAGCTTTCAGGCTGCCCGAAAGGCTGTTGTGGCTCAGGTCCATCTGGACAAACCTATCCAAGCCGCCCATGGGAAGCCTGCGCCCCGTCTGCGCGTTCGTCGCCAGGAACAGGTCGAGCGGAACGCTCCCCCGGAGGCCCGCGTGCGGCGCGCTTAGTCTCACTAGCTTCGCGGGAAACACGCAGCCGTGCAGAGAGCCCCCACCTTCACCTCCGCCGCTGGCGCTGGCGCTGCTTCCGGTGGTCGCGCCGCCAAGGTCGTTGAAGCCCAGCCAGAGCTCGCGCGCCGGCAGCAGCGCGTCGCAGAAAGCCCCGGAGAGCACGTTGTTGTCGAGCCGCACCTCGTCGAGCGCCTTGAGCGACTCGGAGTCGCGTAGCGCCGCGGGCACCGCGCCGGACAGACGGTTCCCCCCCAGGTCGAGTTTCTGCAGCGCCGTCATCTCCGCCAGCGCGGGCGGAATGGCGCCGGACAGGCTGTTGTTGCGCAGGATGAGCGCGGTAATGCTCCGCGATCACGCGCCCGCTTCCCCTGGGAGTTCCCCCGTGAAGTTGTTGCTCTGCAGGTCCAACTGGCGCAGCGCAGGCGCGCGGAAGCTCCCCCGAGAGCGCGTTGCCGGACAGGATAACCTCTTCCAAAGACGAAGAGTACGCGTCGGGCCCGTCAGGAAGGGACCCCGAAAGGCCTTCATATTGAAGTTGAAATTCCGGGTTGGTACTGATTGTGCTGAGATCCACGTGGCGGAGCGCGGGCAAGCGGAAGAGGCCTGGCGGAATGGGACCGGATAAGTTGTTTTCGGGCATGACGATTTCCGTCAGCTTCTGGAGGCGCGTGACGGAGTCCGGCAAGCCTCCGGCGAGGCAAGAGTGGCGGAAAACCAGCGACGAGAGCTCCGCGAGGTCGCCAATGGCGGGCGACAGCGCGCCGGGCGGGCAGCTTCCTCCGCTCCCAACGGGCCCGGGCATGTCCTGGCGGCTCGGGTCGGAAAAAATGCCCGTTATGCGGCCGGCGGTCGTGCACTCGAGCGGGCACCAGAGGCGGCACGACACATTAGCGGGCTTGGGCGCGACGCAGCAGTAGGAGACGTTGTGGCTGTCGTCGAACAGCTTGTACTGCGGTATGCCGTCGTGCCAGAAGAACATCATCTTGGGCAGCGCCGCGTACACCGCGCGCATGGCCTCCCGGTCGACCTCCGCTATCTCCGCGACGCACCCGTCGGGGATCGGCGGCTCGGTGTAGGCCTCCGCCTGGCGGAGGAGCGCGATGAGCGCGAGAAGGGCGATGATGGAAACGCGCGCGGGGACGGGGATGGGGAACGGGAGGGCGCGAGGGAATGAGGCCATAATGCTGTGTGAGAATCTGGAGATGTGCGGATTAGAATGAGAGTGTACGATTTGAGAGGCGGAAAAAGCACTAGAAGAATATAGTCCCTACGGGGGCGACAACTCGAGCACTACCGTCGCTTGTATTACTGGTACCAATCCCGGGCGTTGATGCACGGATTTTCTGAGCGAACTGGAGGGAGGTCGAGTATATAATGGAAGAGTAGTACCTGTGACGTTGAGTATAGTAGCGGCATTATCGGGTTTTCTCCCACGTTCGGAACGTTGACTTCGTTGACGGGAGATCAGGATGGTCTAAGGCGGACGAGGATTGAGCGGAGGTAGATTGGCTGAAGGGATGCGCGCGGAGTACGAGGCGCGTTCTGACCCGGCGCCTGCTGCGGGAATGGACAGCCATAGTAACAGCGGGTATTGTTGCGGCGCGCATGAAGCCGCAAACGACCACAAGGGGAGGCGCGAATAGGGGTGCAACGTCACTACAGTGTGTACCATGATCTGTCTAGTGTTATTGCCAGTGAAGTGCCCTGAACTGGTGAGTCCAGCTAGGCGAAGGCGAGAATTTCACGACGTCGTTGTGACGACGTCGTGAAACAGGCACCAACGAACCAGGCCATAGGTTTGTCGAAGGTGTGAGAGCAGCAGCGAAGGCGGAAGACACGGCACGACTTGGAGAGAAAGAGGAGGAACAGAAGAGAGACGGAGGTGGGGGAGGGAACTGAGTCAGGCGGGATCTAGGGATGGAGGAAGGGAGGAATGGTGGCAATGGCAGTCGTTGGGTGGGGTAAATGGGTGAAGGCGGTGAATTCCCGCCGAGACGCATGTCGCATTCCAGGTGCCTTCCCCAGGTTGGATTATGTTGCAGTCTGTACTGTACTGTACTCGAGAGCTTTGTCTGTTCGTTAGACCCGCAGCATGCGGCGGGATCCTCGTTAATGTCTCCCGAGTCGCATGCTACACAAGTTCAATTTTACTGCCAACAGTGGAATGTGTGTTTGCATGCGCCTCACATACGTATCAGTTTTGGACAATTACAAAAAAAACAAGAGGCGACAAGGTCGTCCTAGGGTTGCGAAGCTCTTTCTACAATGGTAAGTACAATTTAGTTAATTGTACATCCTCAGAAACTGTACACAATAGTAAAACACTCAATTGGCATACCTTGGCAAAGAATCGAAAATACCTACAACGACTCGAACCCGCGCCTTACTGATCACAGACTCACATCTAACGACTAGGCCAACACCTCCGGCTTCGTCCTCAACTCACGTTATATAGTTTTATAACAATGCGACGAATCTGAAACTTCTCCCTCTCTCTCGTTAGCTGAGCTCCCACCAACTAATTCAAGTTTCTACTAAAGGTGAGAACAACCCTAACCTATCAGGTAGTTTTAAGTTAGATGAGTACGAGCTAGGCTAACATGTGTAGATCTCTTCTCACAGTGGTTTATAGGGAATGTTCTATGGTTTGGATTCTTTCCTTCGTTTTCCTTCGAGTCCCGAAGACGCCGGTCTCGGTCGACGCCTACGCTCAGCTGACGTTCGACGGCGAGGAGGCTCAGGAGCGCGAAGAGGAGGAGCACCGGCAGAAAGTCGGCTCGCTGCAGTTCGCGGCGACGACAACGGGGCCAGATATTGCGTTCGCCTGCAGCAAGCTGGGGAGCGGCCTCACGGTGAGGAGCGACCAGCATTGGCGCGAGGTCGATCGTTGCCTCGCCTACCTCGCCGACACCCGCGACACCGCTCTGGAGTTCGGCGGTGGACCGGAATCATTGGAGCTGATCGGCTACGTCGATGCCGACGACGCGGGCGACAAGCAGAACCGGACGAGCACGGGAGGCTACGTGTTCGTCTACGGAGGGGCCGCCGTCTCCTGGTCGAGCTCACGCATCAAGTGCGCGACGCTCTCCTCGACCGAGTCGGAGTACGTCGCGGCTACGGATGCTGGCAAGGAGGGACGCCGACTTTGATTTCTTCTTGCGGAATTCAAGCTGCTCGACGCTGGGAAGCCGACCACCCTCCGCGTCGACAACAAGTCGGCAATCACGGTCGCTGAGGGCTTGGGGCTGACGGGCAACCTCAAGCACATGGAGCGACGCTACGCCTGGCTGCAGCACATGGTGAGGCGCGGGAAATTTGTGCTGGAGTACATCCCGACCACCGAGCAGCCGGCAGACTTCCTGACGAAGGCGCTGCATTTTCCGGCTTTCAACCGGTGCTCTGTCGCCATCGGCCAAGTTCCTCTGGCCGACGTCGGCGACGGCGACGACGAGGTGCAGCAGTAGGTGCCGTGCCCTTCTGCACGGCTGGTGCGGTGACGGCGTGCTGTGTGTGGGGTGCACGCCGAGGACGAGTTTTCTCCGTGGAGTACTGCCGTGCGGGCTGGAGGCCCAAGCGTGAGCGCGGCAGGGGAGTGTTAACGGGAACGGAGTGTTGGCCCCGCCCTCGCTTGGGCAACGCCGACAACTTGGTCGGATGTACGGGAGTAGCAGCCGACCGTTCACAGTGGGAGAGCTGCTCGACAGGGTTCGTCGAGCTGCAGGGGACCGCTGTGGTGTTGCTGTCGACCAGGGAGCCCGACAGCTGCAACTGACTGGCCTGGGCGACGGGTGGGCCGTCCAGGAGGTCGACGGAGCATCCCGTCAACCTGCTGCTCGACGGGGAGGCCTCCGGGGCATCCCGTCGACCTGCAGTTAGACGGGGAGGTCTACGGGGCATCCCGTCGAACTACAGTTCGACGAGGAGGTCTGGGGAGCATCCCGTCGACCTGCAGCTCAACCGGGAGGTCAACGGAGCATCCCGTCGACCTGCAGTTCGACTGGGAGGACGACAGAGCAGTTCTGGTCGACGGAAGGGGTCCGTCAACCAAGGGGTAGCTCGACGGGGGTTGTGGTCGACCAGAGGCACCTGGTGGTCGACCAGAGGGACCTGGTGGTCGACCTGAAGCAGTGGTGGTCGACCGGAAGCACCTGGTGGTCGACCGGGTCGACTGGGTAACCTGCTCGACGAGTTCCGCGAAGGCACGCGAACGTCGTCGAGGTTGCGATGGCGAAGGCGACTGCGGGTTGGTATCCCGAAGTCGATGTGGCTCGTCAGGCGCAGACAATAGCCGACGGATGCCGAACGAGGCAAGTCGGGCCAATCGTCTGCGCACACCTGCGAGCGTGTGCACTGCTGTGTTCTACGGGGCAACGCTGGACAGCCGCTCTGCTGCAGCGTTGGCACGCCGTCGACCTGCTCTGTTGGCAGGTCGCCCTTCTGCAGTGCTGGCGCGGCTCCTCGACGCAACGCTGGCCGACGGTCGACCGAGCTGTGCTGGCGGTCGACCAGACTAGCTGCAGGGTTGCTAGGTGCCTGATGTAGTCATTATTGTCATTGCTTGTTCAATCATTCTGTAATTCCAACTTTGCTAGTGGAAACTCTTGCCGATTTCTCTCGTGAATGTGCAAGCACTAAGGAACTAAGCAAAGCTACGATCACTCCTTGTAGTTCGTGCCAACCCCCGTAGTCTAGCTCACTACCGTTGTAGAGTGACTCTCCACAATGATTTCGTCTTTCATTCTTACGTGCTCTTCAGTTTTCTTTAGTTTAACGTCTATCCGTTCATTTTCTTTAACTTCCTGCTGTAGTAAATCTTTTCTAACCATACTTGTTTTCTTCACTTCGTTCGTTGATTCCTTCTTGTTTTCTTCTCTTTACTGTCTGTTTCTTTTCCTTGTATAGTCGTTAACTTTCAGCGTTATCCGGTCTTTTCTTGTGTTCTTGCGTCTCTCCTTCCTACCTGTTGCACTTTCTCCTTTCTCTCTGCAATTCCCTTTCTATTTTCTTCCCATCTTACTTCTTTCCATCTTATGTGCCCTCCAGATTTTCCCTGATTCATTTCTGAACCTTTCTTATCCTTGCTTTCCTTTTGTCTCAACTCTTTCTTTCCCTTCTACGCTTTCATTTCATTTCCCAACATTGTCTAATCGTTTCGTTATGTCTTTCTGTTGCGTTCTTTGCTGATTGTTTTACCACTCCCCTCTCATCCTCATCTTGTTCCTTCTCCTCGTGCGTATTCTTCTTCTTGTTCCTTCTCTTCTTCTTCTGTTTCCTTTTGTTTTGGTAAGTTGTATAACTGTTATATTCTGTTGATGTCTTCACCACCCATATTCCTTGCTTTGACCTTCTACTTGCTTTCATTTGTATATCCGCCGTCTCCTTGCTTTCATCGTCCTTGTCCTAAGCCTTCCTCTTATTTGATTGTTTATTGGAGGAGAATAAAATCTTCCCCTCTCCCCCCCTCTTCCCCCCACCACCCCTCCCTCCCCCCCCTTTTTTTTTATGTTCAGAGGCTTTGCTGCTTCTGTCAGGAGTACTTATGAAGTGTAACGATAATAGTCATGACTTGTGGAGCTGCATTGTAGTGATAATTTTCGTTTGCATTGGTTTTATTGTTTCTATTGTTTCTGCATTGCCCTTTTGTGTGTGAACGGAATGTGCCTGAGTTTTTGTGTGCGCATATCGGTATGTGAGTCGTGTATGTGTCTTCGTGTGTGCACACTCATCCATATGCATTCATCATTGCATTAACAATACGCATCTGTGGATTTTAAAAAGATGGTCAACCTATCATTTCCGAGAAGGTTCTTTGCCCACTCAGTGAGTGTGTTCACTTGAACTGGATTTGATGGATCTTGATCATTTTTCTAGTTTGCACAGATTGTGTTGTTTCATGTAACAGTTAAATGATTCAGGAACTATGCTATCGACCTCCCCCCCATGCTAGGCAGGGGATGCGGTAGCATAGGGCTTGGGTTAATTAACAGTTGCGCATTTCGATCATGGTATGCATTCATTTCACTACACTGCATTTATTTCGAGATATATAGTGTATTTACCACAAGAGCATATGCATTTATGCACCTTTGTGCATAAATGCATATGGATGAGTTCATCATATCCATCATTATATTTCATCTATGCATAACATCACCCGGCATATGCATTATGGATAAGAAG